GTCCTGGGGGGGTGGGGGGTGCTGATTGTGGGCCTGATGGATAGAGCTTCATCGGAGCTGAACAACAAAAGAAATCTGAAGCTCCTATGTTTAATAGTTTTTGAGCAATAATCATTTTTGCATGTCCAGAAACCCCTTTTTCAGAAAAATGGGGGTCGGGGGGCACTGATTGGTGGGCAATAAGCATTTTTGCATGTCCAGACACCCCCTCTTTGAAAGGAGCCCCCTCCTCAAATATGGGGTCTATCATAAAACCGTTGGCTGGTGCAGTGTAGGTCAGACTCATCTACAGTCCTGACAAATGTCATGTTGATCGGTGCAGCTGTTTTTGTGATATGGTTGACCAAAAATCTCTGAACAATAAATAAATAAATAAATAGTACAAAAACGATATGACTCCCGCTTACGGTTCACATGCGAGGGTCATAATAAACACAGCATATCAGCACAAACACACTAAACTAACTGTCAGCACAATGATGAAGGGGTTATGGTTTTGGTTTGTTTCACAGCCAGTCTATGTGTACCTTACAGTCATTRCTTTGACCATAAAATCCTTCAAAGACCAAATGATTTTAGGGCCAAAAATGAGCTGAAGCTTGGACCAAACTGGCTCATGGTGCAACAGGTCAGTGATGTCAAACACAGCAGCAAATGTGCAACAGAGTGGCTGAGAAAGAAACCAATCAAGGTGTTGCAGCGATACAGGTACAGTTCAGACTCAACTTGATTGAAATGATGCAACAGGACCTTGAGACAGTGCAGAAACAACTGACTGATAAACCCAATGAACCAAAACWACACTGGAGGAGGACAGGCCATCCTTCCACCACAACCAGTGTGACATCCAGAAAACAACTGAGACCTCATGCTGGAAGTTCTACAAGCTGCTGGATCATGGGATGATTTGTTTTTATACACTATTTTGTTTAATAATAATTTACGTGGTGAAACTTTTAGATTCTGGTAAAAACAGATCTTTTTTGTCCTAACACATAAAACCATACAATTGAAAGTGTAAACTTTGTAACTATGCACACTATCATAGAAAATATTCTTATCCTAATAAATCCATGAATCTGTAAGTTTTACTGCCAAATAAACATTTGATTCAAACTATTTTTTGCACAAGAAAAGTAGGATTTGATGAAGCTAGAAGAGTGTTAATAGTCCCACGTGCACAGGTCAAGATTCAGACATACGCTCCTGAAGCAAATAAAAGTATATCTTGACAAAGTGCCTGTACTCTGTGAACTTCTGCATCTGTATTTGAGTTTTGAGAGTCCCCTGACTTGGCTCAACTCACGTGTGCTGTTTTTAATTTTTTTTATGAGGTAATGATCTGCCATCGATCAGATATTCCTTGTTTCAGTCAATAAGAACACACCCCATGTGGGGCATGATTTACTTATAATAGCTACAGTCAAAATAACCCATTCAAACAGTGCTCCATCCATGTGAAGTAGAGCTGGTAAATCCGATTCACTTTCATCTGATACCAGGATAAATGTGCTGAACTTTGGCTAACTTTCCCTCTGACAATCTGGATGGTCTGACGGCCCTACAGATCCTTTTAAAGCTATTCCTGCTGTGTGTGGTGTGCACTGAGGGTCCGACTCACTGAAGCCTCGCGCAGCAACCCCAGCTGTAGCCAGCTGAGAGGAGACAGCTGCTGTGAATGATGTGCAAAGCTGCCGCTGCTCCTACCCTGGCTTACAGAGCACAATCTAATATATACTAGACATGGGTTTTTACGATGTAAAAACAAGTGTGCATTGCCGTGTAGCATGTCATTGCAGCATGGCTTTGCCTGCAGCATTGGACTTGCAGAATGAACTTTGACCAAGTTCAAATGTGTTTTCTGTGTGACAACATGAAATTTGAAGAGATTTTTTTGTTAAAGTTGCATTAGCTGGGTTTTGAAC